AAACTCCTCACCAGCAAGGGAACAAAGCTGGACGGAGAATGACTGTGACGAAATGACGGAATTAGACTTCAGAAGGTGGATAATGAGAAACTTTTGTGAGCTAAAAGAACATGTTTTAAATCAACGCAAAGAAACTAAGAACCTTGAAAAAAGATTTGAGGAAATGATAACAAGAATGGATAACTTAGAGAGGAATATGAATGAATTAAAGGAGCTGAAAAACACAATACGAGAACTTCGCGAAGCATGCACAAGTTTCAGTAGCCGAATTGACCAAGCAGAAGAAAGAATATCAGAAGTCGAGGATCAACTCAATGAAATAAAATGAGAAACCAAGATCAGAGAAAAAAGCGCAAAAAGGAATGAACAAAGTCTCCAAGAAATATGGGACTACGTGACGAGACCTAACCAATGTTTGATAGGTGTACCAGAATGTGATGAAGAGAATGAATCCAAGCTGGAAAATACTCTTCAGGACATTATCCAGGAAAATTTCCCCCACCTAGCAAGACAGGCCAACACTCTATTTCAGGAAATACAGAGAACACCACAGAGATATTCCGCAAGAAGAGAAACCCCAAGGCACATAATTGTCAGATTCAACAAGGTTGAAATAAAGAAGAAAATACTAAGGGCAGCCAGAGAGAAATGTCGGGTCACCCACAAAGGGAAGCCCATCAGACTCACAGCAGATCTCTCGGCAGAAACTCTACAAGCCAGAAGAGAGGGGGGGCCAATATTCAACATCCTTAAAGAAAAGAACTTTCAACCCAGAATTTCATATCCAGCCAAACTGAGCTTCAGAAGTGAAGGAAAAATAAAATCCTTTGCGAACAAGCAAGTACTCAGAGATTTTGTCACCACCAGCCCTGCTTTACAAGAGCTCCTGAAAGAGGCACTATACATAGAAAGGAAAACCAGTACCAGCCATTCCAAAATCACACTAAATGCTAAAGAGCATCAACATAATGAAGAATCTACAACAACTAACGGGCAAAACAGCCAGCTAGCATCAAAATGGCAGTGTCAAATTCACACATAACAATATTAACCCTAAATGTAAATGGACTAAATGCACCAATCAAAAGACACAGACTGGCAAATTGGATACAAAGCCAAAACCCAGCAGTGTGCTGTATCCAGGAAACCCATCTCACATGCAAGGATACACAAAGGTTCAAAATAAAGGGATGGAGGAAGATTTACCAACCAAATGGAGAGCAAAAGAAAGCAGGAGTTGCAATCCTCATCTCTGATAAAATAGACTTTAAAGCAACAAAGATCAAAAGAGACAAAGAAGGCCATTACATAATGGTAAAAGGATTGATACAACAAGAAGAGCTAACGATTCTAAACATATATGGACCCAATACAGGAGCACCCAGATACATAAGGCAAGTTCTTAACAAATTACAAAGAGACTTAGACTCCCACACAATAATAGTGGGAGACTTAACACTCCACTGTCAATATTAGACACATCAACCAGACAGAAAATCAACAAGGATATCCAGGGCTTGAACTCAGACCTGGAGCAAGCAAACCTGATAGACATTTACAGAACTCGCCACCCCAAATCCACAGAATATACATTCTTCTTAGCACCACATCATACCTACTCTAAAACTGACCACATAATTGGAAGTAAAGCACTGCTCAGCAAATGCAAAACAACTGAAATCGTAACAAACAGCCTCTCAGACCATAGTGCAAGCAAGTTAGAACTCAGAATTCAGAAACCAACCCAGAACCGCACAGCTTCATGGATACTGAACAACTGGCTGCTGAATGTTGACTGGATAAACAATGAAATGAAGGCAGAAATAAAGAAGTTCTTCAAAACCAATGAGAACGAAGACACAACATGCCAGAATCTCTGGGACACATTTAAAGCAGTCTCTAGAGGAAAGTATATAGCAATAAGTGCGCATATGAGAAGAAAGGAGAGATCCAAAATTGGCACCCTATCGTCAAAATTGAAAGAGCTAGAGGAGCAAGATCAAAAAAACTCAAAACGCAGCAGACGACAAGAAATAACTAAGATCAGAGCTGAACTGAAGGAGATTGAGACACGAAAAACCCTTCAAAAAATCAATAAATCCAAGAGCTGGTTTTTTGAAAAGATCAACAAAATAGACAGACCGCTAGCCAGATTGATTAAAAAGAAAAGAGAGAACAACCAAATAGATGCAATAAAAAATTATAAAGGGGAAATCACAGATTCCACAGAAATTCAAACCATCATCAGAGAATATTACAAACAACTCTATGCACATAAACTAGTAAACCTGGAAGAAATGGATAAATTCCTGGACTCCTGTGTCCTCCCAAGCCTAAACCGGGAGGAAGCTGAAACTATGAATAGACCAATAACAAGGGCAGAAGTCGAGGCAGCAATTAAGAGCCTACCACACAAAAAAAGCCCAGGTCCAGACGGGTTCACAGCCGAATTCTACCAGACACACAAAGAGGAGTTGGTACTATTTCTTCTGAAACTATTCCAAATAATCCAAAAAGAAGGAATCCTACCCAAATCATTATACGAGACCAATATCATCCTGATACCAAAACCCGGCAGAGACCCAACAAGAAAAGAAAACTTCAGGTCAATATCCATGATGAACATAGATGCAAAAATCTTCAATAAAATATTGGCAAGCCGATTGCAACAGCAAATCAAAAAACTTATTCATCATGATCAAGTAGGATTCATCCCGGGGATGCAAGGCTGGTTCAACATATGCAAGTCTATCAACGTAATTCACCACATAAACAGAACCAAAAACAAAAACCACATGATTATCTCAATTGATGCAGAGAAGGCATTTGACAAAATACAACAGCCCTTTATGCTAAAAACCCTCAATAAACTCGGTATCGATGGAACGTATCTCAAAGTAATAAAAGCTATTTATGACAAACCAACAGCCAATATCATACTGAATGGGCAAAAACTGGAAGCATTCCCTTTGAAATCCGGCACTAGACAAGGATGCCCTCTTTCACCACTCCTATTCAATATAGTACTGGAAGTTCTAGCCAGAGCAATCAGGCAAGAAAAAGAAATAAAGGGTATTCAGATAGGAAAGGTGGAAGCCAAATTGTCTCTATTTGCAGACGACATGATAGTATACCTAGAAGACCCCATCGCCTCAGCCCAAAAACTCCAGAAACTGATAAGCAGCTTCAGCAAAGTCTCAGGATATAAAATCAATGTGCAAAAATCACAAGCATTCCTCTACACCAATAACAGACTTAAAGAAAGCCAAATCAAGAACGAACTGCCATTCACAATTGCTACAAAAAGAATAAAATACCTTAAAATACAACTCACAAGGAATGTAAGGGACCTCTTCAGGGCAAACTACAAACCACTGCTCAACGAAATCAGAGAGGACACAAACAGATGGAGAAACATTCCATGTTCATGGTTAGGAAGAATTAATATTGTGAAAATGGCTATACTGCCCAAAGTAATTTACAGAATCAACGCTATCCCCATCAAGCTACCATTGACTTTCTTTACAGAACTGGAAAAAACCACCATGAACTTCATATGGAACCAAAAGAGAGCCTGCATAGCCAAGTCAATTCTAAGCAAAAAGAACACAGCGGGGGGCATCACACTACCGGATTTCAAACTATACTATAAGGCTACAGTAATCAAAACAGCATGGTAGTGGTACCAAAACAGAGATATAGACCAATGGAACAGAACAGAGGCATCAGAGGCAACACAACATAGCTACAACCATACAATCTTTGATAAACCTGACAAAAACAAGCAATGGGGAAAGGATTCCCTGTTCAACAAATGGTGCTGGGAAAACTGGCTAGCCATGTGTAGAAAGCAGAAACTGGACCCCTTCCTGACACCTTACACCAAAATTAACTCCAGATGGATTAAAGACTTAAACATAAGACCCGGCACCATAAAAACCCTAGAAGGAAATCTAGGCAAAACCATCCAGGACATAGGAGTAGGCAAGGACTTCATGAACAAAACACCAAAAGCATTGGCAACAAAAGCCAAAATAGACAAATGGGACCTAATGAAACTCCACAGCTTCTGCACAGCAAAAGAAACAGTCTCTAGTGTGAATCGGCAACCAACAGAATGGGAAAAAATGTTTGCAGTTTACCCATCTGACAAAGGGCTGATATCCACAATTTACAAAGAACTCTAACAGATTTACAGGAAAAAAACAAACAAGCCCATTCAAAAGTGGGCAAAGGATATGAACAGACACTTTACGAAAGAAGACATATATGAAGCCAACAATCATATGAAAAAATGCTCATCGTCACTGGTCATCAGAGAGATGCAAATCAAAACCACATTGAGATACCATCTCACGCCAGTTAGAATGGCGATCATTAAAAAATCTGGAGACAACAGATGCTGGAGAGGATGTGGAGAAAAAGGAACACTTTTACACTGTTGGTGGGAGTGTAAATTAGTCCAACCATTGTGGAAGACGGTGTGGCGATTCCTCAAGGCCTTAGAAATAGAAATCCCATTTGACCCAGCAATCCCATTACTGGGTATATATCCAAAGGACTATAAATCGTTCTACTACAAGGACACATGTACACGAATGTTCATTGCAGCACTGTTTACAATAGCAAAGACCTGGAATCAACCCAAATGCCCATCGATGATAGACTGGATTGGGAAAATGTGGCACATATACACGATGGAATATTATGCAGCAATCAGAAATGATGAGTTTGTGTCGTTTGTAGGGACATGGATGAATCTGGAGAACATCATTCTCAGCAAACTGACACAAGAACAGAAAATGAAACACCGCATTTTCTCACTCATAGGCGGGTGATGAAAAATGAGAACACATGGACACAGAGAGGGGAGTACTAAACAGTGGTGTCTATAGGGGGGAAAGGGGAGGGCCAGTGGGAGGGGGAGGGGGGGAGGGATTGCCGGGGAGAAATACCAAATGTGGGTGAAGGGGAGAAAGCAAACAAAACACACTGCCATGTGTGTACCTATGCAACTGTATTGCATGCTCTGCCCATGTACCCCAAAACCTAAAATGCAATAAAAAAAAAAAAAAAGAAAATGAACTCATCATTTTGTTATTGATTAAATTGAATAGGGTGTTTTTTTTTTTCTTCACCTTATTTCATAGTGTGATGATGTTTAGAAATTAGCAAGAGGCCGGGCGCTGTGGCTCACGCCTATAATCCCAGCACTTTGGGAGGCCGAGGCGGGTGGATCACGAGGTCAAGAGATCGAGACCATCCTGGTCAACAATATGAAACCCCGTCTCTACTGAAAATACAACAATTAGCTGGGCATGGTGGTGCACGCCTGTAGTCCCAGCTACTCGGGAGGCTGAGGAAGGAGAATCTCTTGAACCCAGGAGGTGGAGTTTGCAGTGAGCCGAGATAGTGCCATTGCACTCCAGTCTGGGTAACAACAGCGAAACTCCATCTGAAAAAAAAAAAATAAAGAAATTAGCAAGATAACTAACTTTGCTGTCGTACTTGGGCCAATAGATACCTAGGTCATTTCCTTTTTTTTTTCTTTTTGAGATGGAGTTTAGCTCTGTTGGCAGGCTGTAGTGCAATGGCTTGATCTCGATTCACTGCAACTTCCACCTCTTTGGTTCAAGCGATTCTCCTGCCTCAACCTCCTGAGTAGTTGGGACTGTAGGCAAGTGCCACCACATGTTTTTAGTAGAGATGGGGTTTCACCATGTTGGCCAGGATAGTCTTGATCTCTGGACCTCGTGATCAGCCTGCTTCAGCCTCCCAAAGTGCTGGGATTGCAGACATAAGCCACTGTGCCAGGCCAGGGTCATTTCCTTTTCAAGCTAGTTCTTACATGTTTCCAATTTGGGGCCAATAAAACACACTAGAATCTAGAAGCTCCTAATAACTAGTCCATTACTCAATGGCTAAATATGTTCTAAAGTAACTGTAGCTACAACTAAATTGATGAATTCTCTCAGAACCAAAAACCTCCAAACTCCGTAAGTCACATGAAGTAGAAATAGCTGTTACTGTAACTGCATGCCAGAAATACCTCTGCGCATGCCTTCTATTTTTGCTTCTGCCCAGCTGAAGGAAAGGGAACTAACGCTAGAGAAATTTGTGAAGTCTTAAAAAATCTCTGTCTCAGTTTTCTTGTGTACTCTTCTCTTTTGCTCCAAGCCCCTGCTCTGTTTACTCAATGTAAGCATCTTCTTTTTGAGTGTAAGGAAATAATTGTGGCACTGTGATACATACAACAAAAATGTATGCACAGATACTCTGGGAGGAGAGAAGACGTAACGGAAAATGGGGAAGATTTCACAAAGGAGGTTCCATCCAGTTGACCCAAAAGGATGAACTGGAGTTTGCCAAGCAGAGAGAAGGATACTACAGCCAAAAGGAAGAGTAAAGGGAAAGACAGGTTTAACATTTTCCAGCAAACTGCAAGGTACGGAAGCAAAGACGTGCAACCTAAATACAGCCCACAGAAATGTTTACATAGCCTTTGTGCTTTAACTGTACCTTTGTGGGAATGTGCCAATGAACATGCCTGATTCAAAGCATGGCTATAACTTCACCATTCTTCCAAATTATTCTTTAATTGTCCAATATTTCAACTCTGTCTTTCAAGTCCTATTTATTTATGGAGGATTATCATAAAATCTTATCTTGTCCTCAAAGTAACCAGATGAGTGAGGTAGTATAGTTTTTTTTTTTTTCTCTTAAATAATAGAAACTCTGGGATAGAACAAGAATCAAGGTTTTAAGATAGTAATCTTTTCCCATTGCCTTAATGGACATCAATCACCACTCATGGCTATTACATATCGCTAGTGGCTGTACCTCCATTTTAGAGTATTTTTCACTGTTTATGCAGAATTATTTACCTCTTATGATAATGTAGGCACGAAAACACATCTCTTCCTAAGAAAGCTTGCTAGAACTATAGGCTGTTTCAAAATGCGACATTTTCTACAACTGTCTCCAATTGGGTGAGCCACACTCCCCATGATACCAAGTTATTTGTGTGTCTCATTGGCCACCTCTTATGACATTCTTAGAAATTATAGTGCTGTCTGTAGCCAGAATCCTTATTTTCCTGTAATTGCACCATTGCTTTCTCTGCATAGGTTCTTCCCCACATGAACTATTTTCTCCTTTTGGACCATCTCAAATCTCATGTGAATCTACCTCAAACACCACAGTGACCAGTTTTGTTTTGTCTTGTTCTTGAAAACACAATTCTACTTTTCCAATTCCTTTTAAGACATTTTAAAATAAAGAAATATAGCTTAAATTCCTCGCTCTGTTGATAGAATTCTCTTGTGTAGCTCCACTTACAAAATGCTAGTCCAAATTGGGAATGCTGTACTTGATTTTTTTTTATGGTTTCTCTTCTCCTGATTGTAGATGTACTTAATTTTAAGCAAGACAGGTTCTCATCTTAGTCCTATATTGCTCCAAGAACAGCACCCTCACCTAGCAGATTTTGACTTCCATGTTGTTCTCCTTTAATAGCCTTACTTCTTTCATTGTAAATATCAATCTTCAAGGTAGAGCTGATATACTACTTACTATTGAGGGAATGTATTCCCTTCCCGAGTCCACAAGGGGGTGTAGTTTCAAAGGCAAGAACTTCCCAGTGACGCGCCCCACTTGCCTTCCTCCACGTTTCCAACCAGGAGCTTAAAGGTCTTTGTTTAACTTTCATGGGGGAAGAAATCAAAGGTCAATCACTCCAGCCAAACTCCTTTCACAGGACAGAAAATTTGAATGGGGCAGGAGGTTAAAACTCTGAAGTTAAAAGTCCCCTGCCCCCACATCCAGGTAGGTGGACTCCATTTCTGGATCCCCTTGCATGACCTTGTGGGAGCTGCTCTCTATTTCTTTCTCCTTTTTCTCTCTCTGCCTAAATAAATCACTTTCTGCAAAACTTTTTTTTTCTCTTTGAAAAAAATTTTCTGCAAAAAAATTTTTTTTTGCCTGTTTAATTTTTTAATGTGGTAAAAAATTCAAATAGTACAAGTGTATATAGTAAAAAATGTTTGCTTCCCACTCCAAACACCCAATCTTCCCTCTGAGAATCAAGCCTTAGCAGTTTTCTATATATTCCCCCAGACACTTCCTGTACAAATAAGGAGATCTGTTTCTATATAACTGTTTTAAACCATAAATAAAAGTATATATAGCTGGGCGTGGTGGCTCATGCCTGTAATCCCAACACTTTAGGAGGCGGAGGCAGGTATATCATTTGAGGTCAGTAGTTCGAGACCAGACTGACCAACATGGTGAAAACCTGTCTCTACTAAAAATACAAAAAAAAAAAAAAGGCTGGGAACAGTGGCTCACGCCTGTAATCCCAGCACTTTGGGAGGCCGAGGCGGGCAGATCACGAGGTCAAGAAATTGAGACCAAACTGGTCAACACGATGAAACCTCATCTCCACTAAAAATACAAAAAAAAAAAAAAAAAAAAATTAGCTGGGCATGGTGGCACGTGCCTACAGTCCCAGCTACTCAGGAGGCTGAGGCCGGAGAATTGCTTGAACCAAGGAGGCAGAGGTTGTTTGATATTTACTTAAATGAGCCACTGCACCCAGAGGGGTCCTCCATCCCATTCTTGGGGGAGTGAGGGACCAAGGGCCTGGAAGACTTACACATCCTATCCAGGAGCTGAGTTTCCCCTGTGTCCCGGAACTGGTCTCACTATCATGTGTGAGTTCTCACTCTTCATAGCAATGGCCTCATGGACTTTAAAATTTTATTCAACATTGTTGTGGATTAAAAATGATCACAGAGTAAAGATAGAGCCAAGATTTTAGTTGTTAGTCCCTTTGTTAAGATCTCAGAAGGATTTAAGGGTGTGCCATGTAGACCTTTTCTGTGAAAAGCCAGGATTTCTAAGAATCTGAAGGTGACACACCACAGCAATCTCACAGGTGGCTCAAGGTAGAGAATAGCCTGTCTTAGAAGAAGAAAAATATGAGTGTGGCTTTTGTCTAGTAGAGTGGTTTATAATTCAAAATAAAAGAAATCCACAAAGTTTTTAGAAGAATTTTACTAGACTGAAATGTAAAAGATGGGAACTGTATAGAATTTAAAGAAGCCTTTGAACCTTGAAACTTCTATGGCCAGAAATCAGTCTGAGAAGACTAATCAGTTGAAAACGTGGTCCACTTTTATGGAAAAGGAAGAATGACTGGGAGTGGGTGTGGGGTGATGGGAAGCTTACAGGGAAGAGCCAAGATCTGTGGAGAGTAACTCCCAGGGAAAAGGGTTATTCAAGGAACTGGCGACAAGTGCCTATCTAAATTTTAGAATCTCTATGGACTAGGGGCTGCTATGTAATTCTAATGTTTCCTCTTTTTTGAATGGGAGCGAGCTATTCTGTTTCACCACTGTATGCTTGGTGTGTAGGAGGCACACAATTTGTCTCTTTAGTTCACAGGTCTTCAGAATGAGAGGTATCATACTTTTAAAGAAGCCTAATAGAGGCACAGCCTGTAATCCCAGCGCTTTGGGAGGCCAAGGCAGGTGAATTATTTGAGGTCAGGAGTTCGACATCAGCCTGTCCAAAGTGGTGAAACCCCATCTCTACTAAAATACAAAAATTAGCCAGGCATGGTGGCAGGCACCTGTAATTCCAGCTACTCAGGAGGCTGAGGTAGGTAGGAGAATTGCTTGAATCCGGGAGGTGGAGGTTGCAGTGAGACAAGACTGTGCCACTGCACTCCAGCCTGAGCAATGAGACTCTGTCTAAAAAAAAAAAAAAAAAAAAAAAAAAGCCTAATAGATACTTGGACCTGATTTAAATAATGGGGATCCTGAGGCCTCACATAGTAGGATGAAACTACTAGAGTTTTATATGGAGGGAGTTTCTTTTATATGTGAGGAAAACAATTTATGGACAGAGGGCGGACAGCGGCACGTTTTGAGTGGACACTAGTTCTTTGACAGTTTTCCCCATCAGAGCTGGAGGGTATGGCCCCATCTCTTAAATCTGGATCAGCTCTGTGAATTTTTTACCAACAAAATATGACAGAAACAATATTGTGCAAGTTTCTAGGTTCAACCTTAAGAGACTGTTACCTTCAACTATCTCTTGGGACATTTATTCTTGGAGCTCTAAGCCATCATGCAAGCAGTCTGGACCATGTTGAAGAAACAATATGGAAAGGCCCTGAAACTACATGGAGAGAGAGAGCCTGCCTGAGCCCAGACTTCTGGTCATGCCCTCTAAAGTGCGTTAGTAAACCTGTCTTTGGCACTCCAGACAGCTATGCTGCCAGCTGAATATTACCGGGCGACCCCACTTGATGCCACATGAAGCAGCAGAATTACCCAGCTGAGTCCTCTGAATTCCTGACTCACAAAGCCATGGAACATTGTATTATCAAATGATTGCTATTTTGCAATGCTAAATTAGAGAGTAGTTGGTTACCCAGCATACAAAGTTTAA